GTAAATTTCTTCTTTTAATTGTGACAAATGACCTCTGCATTAACATGATATATGCATCGTGATGTATGTTAACTTTTGATTAACTTACAGGTGTCCCAAGTATGACATTCTCATCATTCACCATTACGAAATCTAGAATTTTCGCATTAATTATGCAAATTAGGTCATCATTTGCATAATTAGTATCTGTTGAAGTTCCGCCTGCCATAGGTTACATACATTACATGTATGTAAGTAGTATAATGTAAAACACTGTAATTATAGAATTTCCTCATTAATTATGCAAATTAAGTCCTCATTTGCATAATTTGCATTTAATTATGTACATCTCTCTCTCAGCTACCTACACACCAAAAATAATGAAAATATGTTGTTCCTGTCTGGACTTATTGGCTTTTAAACATTTCGCCAGAAAGTGCCCTGCAGTTCCAAAACAAGCCGCTAGGGGGACCAAACTCATGTGACTTCTTCCCAAGCACGAGAGCTACCTTCCATCAAAATTTCATGACCCTAGCATGTCCAGATCGCGAGATATCAAAACCGGAAGTTGCGCTGCAGTACCAAGGGAAGCCACTAGGGGGACCAAAATCTAATCATTTCTAGTTTTTGTCACACCCTACCAACACACCAAGTATGAAACCAATCCATCCAGGCGTTCTTGAGTTATTTTGTTGACCAACAGACGGACGGACAGACGGACAGACGGACGGACAGATAAACGCAACTGAAAATATAACCTCCATGACACATTTCATGGAGGTAATAATGTATAACCCAACAAGTTAGAATTTAGAGTAAGCATTTAGACTGGTCATCTGTTATATTGTTACTAGTACAATGTAATAATTGTTGTTTGTTTATCTTCTTCATGTTAATTGCACTAGCCTTTGGGCAAGAATTTGCAATAAGTCTATTATAATTATATTTATCAAAGAGTGGTATAACAACATATTGTGTTCTACGTATTGTAATCTTTGCTCAGTGGAAAGATGCTTAATTACCTCTGTTGGTCAACAAGATAACTCAAGAACGCCTAGATGGATTGGTTTCATACTTGGTGTGTTGGTAGGGTGTGACGAAAACTAGAAATGATTAGATTTTGGTCCCCCTAGTGGCTTCCCTTGGTACTGCAGCGCAACTTCCGGTTTTGATATCTCGCGATCTGGACATGCTAGGGTCATGAAATTTTGATGGAAGGTAGCTCTCGTGCTTGGGAAGAAGTCACATGAGTTTGGGCCCCCTAGCGGCTTGTTCTGGAACTGCAGGGCACTTTCTGGCGAAATTTTTAAAAGCCAATAAGTCCAGACAGGAACAACATATTTTCATTATTTTTGGTGTGTAGGTAGCTGAGAGAGAGATGTACATAATTAAATGTGAATTATGCAAATGAGGACTTCATTTGCATAATTAATGAGGAAATTCTATAATTACAGTGTTTTACATTATACTACTTACATACATGTAATGTATGTAACCTATGATAGGCGGAACTTCAACAGATACTAATTATGCAAATGATGACCTAATTTGTATAATTAATGCGAAAATTCTATGATTTCGTAATGGTGAATGATGAGAATGTCATACTTGGGCCATCTTTAAGTTAATCAAAAGTTAACATACATCACGATGCATATATCATGTTAATGCAGAGGTCATTTGCACAATTAAAGAGGTAATTTACATTTACATATCAAGATCATATTTCATGGAGGTATGAGATCTCGGAATTCTAGTTCACAATGTTATTAACCATTAAGTGCAAGATCTGTCTTCCCCAAAAAAACTTGGTACAACACAGCCAGGTTAACCGATTCCCACCTTTGTACAGATGCAGATTTTCCTGCCCGGCTCCCCAGTCTCCGCTGTGTACAGAGACAGAGTCTGTAGCCTGTGTGAGTCTGTGGATAAGGAGGGTCCTAAGGAGTCTGGGACTGAGCCTTTCTTCAGCTTAGTCTGCAGCCAGTTACACAGCTGGGCTGTGGCTGGGGTCTCCTCATCTGCGAGAAAGAAGAACAAAGATTTATCTTAAATTCTACCCCAAAGCCTATTTCGATTCAATTCCATTATGAAGCCTATTTTGAAGTAGCATGAAATACATGTAGACAAATAAACAATGAAGAACAATATTTAACATGTGACTAGTCTACTGATATATAGTCTTTTGAGATTGACTGACAGAGAGAGAAAGAGAGAGATAGACAGAGAGAGATGATACAGTACAGTAGTAATCACATTGTACATTGTGTACATTGGAAATGCACATTTCCAGTGTGATGAATTTGTGGTGGAGAGGTCACTGCAAAAACCACAAAAATAAAACTACAGCAAAAGTTTCAAGATTTACAGTATTGCATCCACAATCGCACTACTAGATAAACAAAAACCTGTGTGACTAACCGAGATCAGGTAAAGACAGCACCAGTTTCCAGTAGAAGTTTTTCTGTTGCCTGGTGGCTGGTGGTTTGGACTGGTCAGCTCCTGCTGTAGTCAGCTGTTCTGCGATGAGGGCAGGCAGGTCCAGGGGAGACCACGCCTTCTCTCTCCTGACCTTAGCCTGGAGTAACCTCATGTCGATGGCCAGGGACGTCACCTCCCAGCTCTTCACCAAACTGTGGAAGAGAACAAAATGCCCTTGCTGGTACTGTAACATGTATATCTAATCCACACTAATTTTTTACACTTAACACATATTTTTTACTTAGCATGAAAGTTCATCTGTGTTGGTACAAGTCATGGTGCTTCCAACACAAAGTCTTAGATTACAGAAATGTATAAGTCCCATTTCTGTAATCTAAGTGTTGGAAGACAAGTTAAAGCTTAGTCTTTGTTTCATACACATTTTTTACCGTTAAAATCCCAGATACTGAGTGACTAGCATTTGATAGTTAACAAAATTTGTAGATAGTCAAGTTTTTAGATTAAAATATAACACACCTTCATGCAAAGACAACAATTTACCACAAGAAAAGACAGATGGCTCTCTGTAGAACTTACATCTGAATGATTGGCCAAACTTGTTGATTTACAGGTACTGGTCAAGGTCTGTAACCAAACAAGTATACCTGTCCCTGTACCTAAAATGTACAGGGACAACCAACTCTATATATGCAGTTGTATAATAGGTACAAAGATCTACCTCATGGGATTGGCAACAGGTCTCTTCCTTCTGAAGAAAGCCCTGATTTTCTGCCAGGGAAGTCTCTGTGTGGTCGTGCTGGGGAACTCCTGCATAGAGCGGCGAAGGCGCTTCCTCATGGCATAGCTGGTGCGCCACCTAGTGGAGCAACGAAGTATTACAATTAAGGGATGTCTGTCACTCCTAAAGCCTTTTTCGGTTCATGGCTTTTATCCTCCTTCCAATTATCCTCCTTCAAACATTTTTGAACGAATGCCCCTTCATTTCCAGAACAAGCTGCTAGGGGACCCAAACTCATGCCACTTCTTCCTGAGCATGCATGTAAGAGCTACATTTTGTACCTACCATCTAAACTTCGAGATCACGAGATATCAAAACCCGCAGTACCACTGCAGTATCACAACAAGCTGCCAGGGGGCCCAAAATATACTTATTTCGACCTATCCAACTAGTACCTATCACTACAATCCATCTTAAGATTCTCGAGTTATCAAGTTTACAGATACACACACACACACAAATGCTACAGAAAACATGACCTCCTTGGCAATGGTAAGAACTGGCTGTTTAAAGTTAAAACTTTCATGATAGTGTAAGAACTGGCTACCTTCTCCAGATCCTTGCAGTCTGAGCCAGCTGTACACACTGCTCCAGCTCAGCCAGCCGCTGGTCTCGCAGGTCCTCCGCTGCCCTCACCACCTCCTGACATACGTCCCGGACACACTCTACTACTACCTCCTCCTGTACAGCACTGCTGATGTCCACTGTACATCTCTCCACAGACTCCTTCTTCAGTTGGAGAAGAACCTCCCTGTTTAGAAGGGTTCTATCAGTGGCTGTAAATCTTTGAAAACGTAAGTCGATAAATTCTACACAGAGTCTAAAGTCTACAAAGCTATGTAAATCTTTTCTCATAGGAAACTGGGCTTGAAATTTAATAGTTTTAGCTTGCCTACCAGCTACGTGTACAATAACATACATGTATAAGCATTCAGTCAAAACCTGTACAAGTGACCATCTCTACATAAGGAATACGTAGCATTTGTGACCACTTTTTGGTGGTCTCTTAATTTCTTCCCATCAAAACACACATTAAGAATCCTGTCATAATAGTGACCACTTTTCCACATAGACCTGATTTTATCTGTCCCCTGAATGGTCTTCTTGGCCAGGTCAGACTGTACTACTTATTTGTTTATTCATAAATCAAAAGAAAATACATATTACTGAACCATCCGTTATACAATAATTCAAATCATGATGCTGATAATGAGGTTAGAGACTGTACTAATCTGAGATTTGTTTGTTCTGTCCAGCTTCAAGTCACAAACCTGGCTTGAGCAGTGGCCAAAGAAACAGTCTCCTCCCGCAAAAGTTCCTCCACCAGCTCCTGACATACTACTTCTGTTGCTCTCTCCTGACAATGCCTCAGCTCCTCTGCTCTCTCTGCAGCTAGCCTGATAGAGACAGAAGACAACATCAAGAAAAATGGAGATATAACGTCAATGAAGGAGACATTTGGGTAGAACATTTACATAATGCAAAATAAATCAAGTAACTGCCAGTGGGTAAATTCTCAGACGTTTTTGATAGGATCCACTATATTTCATCCGTGACTCTCCAAAAACTAGCTTTCAAGGACTAAATTCCAGCTGAAACAAATCAAAGTAAACAAATCAAGTCAAAGTGCCTTCCCACACCTATACAAGTATAAACTATAATGGAGCATAGGGCAGCACCCATCTCCATTTCTCTAGCCTTAGGGGTACACAGTTGTGTAATCACTACAGCAGGGGGCTTCTCCACAGGTAGTGGTGTGTGTTTGTATGACTAAGCCAAGGATCGGACTCACAACCTACCAGATGCAAGGCAAACACTCCACTTGGCCATTGCACCAGCCTAACCAAAAGAAACAGCAACCATACATGTATATTGACGAGTGACCAACCTTTCCCGGAGTATCCTGGCCCTCTCCTCGTTCACCACCTCCTGTACGACACCCTTCGCCATGTCGGTGACGCTCTGCTGTATGAAGTCCTCCAGGTACAGAGCTGAGCCCTTGATGATGTCTGCCAGACCCACCATGTGGGACGAGATGTTCTGGCAGAACTCCTGGATAACCTCCAGGAAAAGGTCCCGAGCTACCTCCTTTATGGCCTGAAAAAGTATGACACACTTCAATACACTTCCAGCAGACCTAAGATATGTACATTTGTACCTACTATCTCAGTTTAAAGCAGGCTTGAAACATGTCATATGAAACCTGACCTCTGACCTCCATTCCTTGATTTTCGTGCTTTTGACCTTGAATGGCCAGGACTTTGAGTATAGGACTATGACTCTGTTTTGACGAATCGGACTTTTATGTTTACTGTATGTTGTCTCACTGTATGTTACAATGTCTTGTGTAATTTTGCTGGGCCCCCTTGGAAAACAGCTGATACAAGCTGAATTGGGGCTACCTAGCCGTCTTGAGATGAAATAAATAAATAAATGTCATACATTTAGTAGATGTGTAACAGTGGGGGGTTTATAGGTGCTACCAACTGACCCAGCCGAGGGGTCTAGAGCTTTTAGCCAAATGGTTAGAGCGTCGGGGTCTGAGCTGGTGCCCAGGTTCGGTGTAGGTTCGATCCCCGGCCCGTGTCTTTCTGTTTCTACTCTCCCAATTCTTACTAATGCATAGATTAAAGAAGGTTAGACATCCAGGTAATGAGATACACAAGAAAACTGTTACTCAAGTAACTGGACCAAAATCTCAAAAAATTGAAATCAAAATTTCAACTAATCTATCCATTTGTTTGAGTAACAGTTTTCTTGTGTACATACATGCATGCCCATCCTTGTAAGGGACATTTAAGAAATGATTTTGAAGCCTTTGTAAGCTTTAAGGCAACAACACATGCTTTATCATAAATGCATGTCTTGTTACCTTTTATTAAAAAAAAACTGAACAACAATAGAAACATGTCTATTTCTACCTCAGATTCTTATCCACAGACCTATAAGGTACAAATGAAAGGCTTGAAGCTTTAGAATCCTTACCTCGTTGGAGAAGCGTGGTGCAGGGGGTTTTGCAGGTGAGGGAGGGGACACGGCGACAGGGGGCGCAGGGGGCTGAGTGTAGGGGGGTGGGGGTTCTGTCCTGGGGGGGTCTTCTACAGCAGGCACTGGTGCTTCTGCAATTTCTGCAAAAAAAAACAGCAATTTCTTATCTGATCATTTCAAAATGAAGATACATTGAATTCGAAGCAAAGTAAATCCTTCAACCTTAAGTAAACCATGTGAAGTACAATCTAAGTCAACTGTAATTATTTCAAAGAAGAAATTAGAGATTTCAGACTTCCGGGAAGTATGCATTCCTTTGTTTCCTAAATTCCCCCATGTCGACTACCTTATTCCTTTCAACCTGCCCTGACCAGACAAAGAGATACAAAAAAACCCACAGCTCAGCCTTTTGTAACAATATGAAGTGTGACAATTTACAGTAGCAATGGGGTCGTGTGCCATACCAACAGAGTGCTTGACTCGGAAACCATGAGACCCCGGGTTCGTGTCCTGCCATGCCACCAATCTTGTGCCCTTGGGAAAGGCACTTAACACGACTTTCTCCACTTAAGTGAAAATGAGTATTGTCATGTCCTGTATTTGTTTCTATGTGTTGGACACAACACCTGCAACAGCTGGCTGTGTCCCACATGTTTTGTATTGTTACAGTTTCAATAAATCAAATCAAGTCACTTGCACGTACCTTTCACCAGCTGGGTATCCATAGTAACATCAGACTGGTTGTCTCCTATGTAAAAACCTGCTGCATCAAAACTGTTGTTTGGCACATGGACCATGTTGGGAGGGAGAGGACTACCCTGCACTATCTATAATAGAAGAAACATTAAAATAAATACACAAAAAATCTTAACAAGCAATCAGAAATGGCAGACTTCATTCCTTTACCCATACTTCTTTACAAGCCTTCCAGTCCTAACAGACAAAAATAGTAGCACTTAACACTGCTGCAGCAGTGAGTTGTAGCAAAGTAGTCTACTGGCCAGTTACGCTATGACCTGCGACATACAAATTGAGAGTCGTTATTTTTGATACATCACAGGAAAGCCAAAAACGATCACCACTTAGTGATGAATTGTAAATGAAGTCAATTAAAAAAACTTAACTGCCACTCACTTAATTGAATGTATACAAGTTGATACACTGGTTAGTTTTAGATGCACAAATCCGTCCCTACCTCTCCGACAGAAACTGTCCTCTTGCTGACAATGACAGCACACCTCCTGGGCCGGGGCACACTCTCCCCTTCTATAAAGGTTGTACGGTTGAAGCCTACCGCACCATCCAGCACTGCCAGCCCAAACGCCTCGCTGAAGATGGCAGTCTGAACAACACAATTATGGTATCACGAAAGTTCATCTGTATTGGTAGTTACATGTTTAAAGTTAAAACTTTTGGTGTTGATGTCACACTTCAAAGAAGCCACGTCACAAGCTTCACTGGGTCAGTCTACTGAGGAAGACCAGAGTGACTGGTCAAAAGCTCTAGGTGAGAGAATTTTTTGTGTTGGACCAAAAGTTTTAACTTTAAACAAACATAATTATGGATTAGTTACCCACCAAGTACAGAAGGAACATCCTCAATACATAGCTTTAAACATTGCTTGCAACTAGATGTGCAAAAGCTAGGGGTAGCAGGTTGTTTAGTGTAATATAACCAGCTGCCACTACATATTTTACTCCCATCCCTCCCTATTAAGGAATAGACTGTCCCAAAAGTTTTTTCGTAAATGACTGTGCTACATTTCAGATCATTTGATCCAAGAGTTAAATCTATTTTACCAAAAACTACAGTAGCAGGAACGTCAGCAAAAAGAACATATTTCTCTCCTTATTATAGTATTGGGAGCGAAATGTAACCACTGTTTGTATGAGAAAGTTTAACTCACCTCATCCTCATCCTCAAACCCCATCATGCGCATGTAATCCTCCACCGGGAACTGGGTGGTGCGACCCGTGATGGAGTAGGCTCGGTTCATCACCTTGATCGACTGTGTACGGACCTGGAACAGGGGTACAAGTACGCATGAGAGCTTTTGTTAGATCTTTAGTTGTAGAAGACCATACAAAAGTCCCTGTACATTTCGTTGTGTCAATAAAGAATCTCTGTAACACTATATTACCAGCTCAAGGACGAGGTACACCAGTCGCTAGTTGTGCTAGTACGCATGAGAGCTGGAAAGTTCATCTGTGTTGGTAAAAAACATTCTGACACAAGTTTTGAAAGTTGTAAGACATTAACAGCCCACATCGGAGCCAAGCACTGAAATGCAGCAAGAATGATGATGATGATAATGAACTGTGAGTTTTCATTTATTATGTTGGAAATTACCTGTTCTTCCAAACTCCCCGACCCCCCCCCCTGGCTACCGGCATGAAACCTGTTTCAGAAGTATATACAATATTTTCCCTCAGTAGCATACAATTGGTGTTTCTGTTGCTATGCTTTCAAATACATTATTTACTTATCAGTAGAATTACATTTGTTATTGTGAATTGTGGTAGACTTACCTGTGTGAGGTATCTGTGCATGATACAGGCAGGCAGGTACGGGGCTGCCCACAGCAGTTTGAAGAAGCGGACAAAGTTGTTGTTGTTGAGGGCAGAGAAGACCTGCAGGGCGAACTTCATCTGTGGGGAATTCCTGACCTCGGGTCGGAGCTGCTGAACCTCTCTGTTGGGGACAAAACAAACAAGAGGGTCAGAATTAACCTTAAACACACTTGAAGTAGCCATCTGGCTATCAGTTCTCCATCGGTTACAGGCTAAGGTGGCAGGGAGACATCCATGCATTTCTCTAGTAATACTATCGGTACTGTACTAAAGATCTGTTTCAACCGTAATTTCAAAACACTGAGAAAGCTTCCTTTCCCCTTTGCCTACAAGATTAAATCCCTGCAAAAATAAAATTGATGAATTGACAGCTGCACAACATCATAACAGGACGTATAATCTCCTCTAAAACACAGAGGCAGCACCACTTCTCATCACCTGAGGATGTCTCCCTGGCCTAGGTAATACTTGACCAAATCTCTACTACAAAACATAATCACAGGACGTATAATCTCCTTTAACTTTTAGCCACAGAAGCAAAACCACACTTTTCACCTTTCCATAAGTAATTTCATCAGGTTGGAAGATACTTAGGGTATAGACTTTTCTTCTTACACAACCAGTTAAGGTTCTCACCTGCTTACGTTTCGTAAAAGTGGCACCTACTTTGGCGATAAATAGCGGCGAGTTGCAGAACTCCAGTCAGAAGCTCTGAGGAAGGTGTCTGATAGACATCAAAACGAAAGCAGGTGAGAACCTTTACTGGTTGTGTAAATAGAAAATACTCAACCCTAACCACACTTCTCACCTGAGGATGTCTCCCTGGTTGAGGTTGAGCAGCAGCTCGTAGGCACGGAACTCGCCCTCGTTGGGGCAGAATCTCCCGTCCACGGTCAGGTCGTGGTAGAACTGCTTCAGGCTCTGCAGACACTTGGTCAGGTTCTCGTTGTTGATCTTGGGGTCGAAGACCGTCATGGGCTCCTGGCACAGCTGGTGGGCACAGTGGATGTGGAAGCGGGCGCACTTCTCTGTCAGGTCCACTGCCGTGGGGTCTGTCAGCAGCTGCTGGGTGATGTCCTGCCAGGGGGAGGAAACTGTGTTTTTTTATTGTTTTTTTTTAAATATACTTCTTCTTCTTCTTCCTTCCTAGGTACTCATTTACACCTGAGTGAAGTGAGGAAAGTCATGTAAAGTGCCTTTCCCAAGGACACAAGATCGGTGACATGGGTGGGGATCGAACCCAGGACCTCTAGGTCCTGAGCCGAAAACGCTTCCGTCAATAATTAGGTGCAGAGCTCAGCTGAAAAGAGCAGGGGTCCATCCTGGTGTGAGTAGATCGAACCTTACAGTTTGGTCTTATGTGGCTTGTACTTGTACTTGCTTGTACTTGCCGCCCTGCCATAACCCGTGTACCGCTTCCCCCCCCCCCCAGTGATACCCCGTACAGGGGTTGTTCGAGGGTATTTATAAAGAAGAAGAAGAAGAAGTACTTACTCTACAGGTGTGTTACACCTTGAGGTGGTTATGCTAAACAAACAAGCAAGCATACAAACATCACCATACCTTCCTGATGCCCCTGGTCCTGTTCCACACAAAGTCGTACCAGTCTCCCCAGTTCCCGTCCCGCCCCGTGTCCAGCACATTGTTGACCAGGTAGTCCATGGTGAGGGTCAGCACTGCCGGCGGCCGCAGCTCGTGGGGCAGCGGCTCCTCCTTATCCGCAGACGAGCGCGCGTACTCCTTCACCGCCTGCAAGTTCAATTTCATTTTTCAATCTTTATTAAGATTAATCAACATGGCAGGGGTACATAGTAATTGCGTGGACTTAACAATTTGTACATTTCGTCAGTCTCATAAGACCATGAAAATACTTCTTCTACACCATGCACATGTACTTATTCTTTGTTTTATGCTTAGAGCATCTGATGAGTCCTGATGCAAGTCTCAAAGTTTTTCTTCCCCCTGGTACAAGTCATTCTTAACTTCCTGTCTCCAAAGCATTCCGTTTGTTGGACTTAAATGATGTCCAACAGGGCAATAAAATACATACGGATATACAAAAAGGACATGCAACACGAAAAACACTAAGCCTGCATTTGACTATCAGACCTGGCATCCAGTACCAAATCATGAGGTGGTTGGTCAGGCCTAGCAAAAAAAATGTTGTGTTTAATGTTTCCCGACCGACCATAGAAAAAACTGCCAACACTAGCCTTTTTTTTTAATTCCTGCAAGGGCCATAAACCTTTTGAGCCAATTGACCTTTTCTAGCTCCACGATCTGACACCCGAGTGATGAAATGTTGCACATTGCCAATCAGTTTTCCAACATTGACATTGAAAATATAAGTGTCTTCATCATGCAAGTTTTACTTTATTAAACCCTATTGTATAAGTTGGATCATTAGAGATCACCAGTCTAAAAAAAATGAAAAGAAAAGAAAAAGAAAACCCCTACCTACCGACCCTAATTTTTTCAGGACTGAAACAGGAAACACAACATTTTTTTCCTAGGCCTCAGGACGAAATAAAAAGAAATGAAAAAATACCTTTGCATGGTCGATGCGGTTGTCATCCTCGGGAAGCGTCTCGAAGACGGAGAGCCTGTTCTGGAACTCTCGTTCGTAGCGCTCCTTCTCCGGACACATGTCCCGACACGTGCCGACCACCACCTTAGCCGTGGCCAGGTCTGTCTGCTTCTTCGATCCTAAATAGGTGGGAGAGATGACATGTCAGAAATTGCCAATTGCTTCAATGGACTAGTGTGTTAACAATGAAAAAGATGGCAAGTTTTTAATTCTAACTAGTAGTAGACTTCTTTGGAGAGATTATCTACAAATCATTACTTATCTAATGATACATTGTAGTTAATGGAGCCAATTAAGTACCAAAGTATAATTCTTTGAAGTAAAAGGTGTTATCAGATACTGGGCTAGCAGGTACCTAACAGAATGCACAAGAGGGCAAAGGACAGAGTAGGGTGGAAGAGGCTGATGCTGGATCCTACTATAGTCCCCAACCCTCAAAGATGAGGATGGGACAAGGCAAAACACAATCATATGTACTAACAACCATGGAGGCCACCTCACCCTGCCTGATGATGCGATCTCTCTGTTCCAGGATCTGAAACTTCTCGTAGGCGGTCTTCCCCGCCATCCCCCTCAGTTTCCCCAGGCTGGTTATCCCCATGGTGGGCTTCTTCTCCCCCTCCCTCTCCCTCCTCTCACTGCCTGCTGCTGCTCCAGACCTCACGGCCTCAGGTTTAGGAGCTGCCCCCTGTGCAGACTTCCTTATGCCAGAGCTGAGTCCTGAAGTGCTGGCGATGGGCTCTGCTCTTGATGCTGCAGCGCCTGCATCTGAAATCACACATCCCCGCAAAAATATGAATATAACTACTATTTACTGCATAACATTCAACGTTTAAGAGATACATAAAAGAACCTTGAGTGTAAATATTGTCTTTGTAAGTCCAAACATCAAAGGGTTTCAAGACATGCTCATCAAAATGTAAGGGTTGACCCTTCATTCTTGCATGTCTTGTGCAAATATAATGTAAGTGGTGCAGGTTAAATTTTCCTGTTGCATGCAACTTTTTGGATTTTGAGCCCTGTTCCAGAATACCACATGCTGACTGCCTCACCTGTTGCAGCTTTCCCCTTGGGAGAGGTTTTTCCGGCTCCCCAGAAGATGGTGATCGGCCGAGTTCCCTTCTTCAGCAGACGGCCCTTCCGTTTGGCGTCGGAGGCGGCTTGCTGAAAAAACAAGTTTGTCACAGTCAGTAATTTATTTTTGACTTAGTAAGACAGATAGCAAACTGAAGTGCTATCAATTACAGTTATAAAATTGATTTTAATTGCAGGTGTAATTTATTAGATAAATGTTATTTGTGGATATATCTTGTTCTAACTATTTAATTTATTGTTGTTTTTCTATGTCCAGGTATGTGTTAGGTGTGCACGCTATCAGCATGCTTGCTGCCTAGTGCACACTTTGTATTGTCATGTTACAATTCTGAATACATAAATAAATAGTGCCATCAAGCCTATATACTACTAGTCACACAGTGATTTACATCATCACCCTGGCAGAGACCTGGCGACCATGGTATACTGGTATACTTTAAAGAAGAATTTGTATGAGAGGACAAAATGTGTGAATAAACTCACATGATCAGCAAAGGCGACGACGGCTGTCTTTTTCTCAGGGTTGGGATGGACCCTGACCACCTTTCCGAACTTGGAAAAGTGCCGTCTGAGGAAGTCCTTGTCGTTGCACGTTCTGGGGATGTCTGAACAGCGCAGAGTGGTTCTAGTGCTGGCTTCTTCTTTTGTCAGGAACCTCCTTCCAGCACCTGGAGACAGAAATTCACCATTCAAGTCAATAACTTTTCTAGAAAGCTCTAACTATGTTAAGTTTGCTGACTTTACAATGGTACCGGTATGGTTGAATTACGTTAAAAAAATAACAAGGCAATCACATAGATTGTAAAAAGCATTGCTTCTTTTCACCATTCCATCATGTCATTTCCTACCACACTTTGCAACATCTCTACCATCTCTACCAAACGGTTCTACTAGTACTTTTGTCACTAGAAGCTTTTGTTACCAAATCTTTGCAATGTGGCAGATCGGTATGCTTTCTATGAGCAGACATGACCATGTAGTGTTCCTATAACGTCTTCCGTCGCTGGGAACCTGTATGTACTAATGGTAGATCATAGCAACGAGTGATAAGGGATGACAACAACTGTTCCCCACGTTTACCTGACTGTGAGTCAGAAGATGAAAGTCTGGGCCGGGCCAGGGGTTGGTACGGCTCCAAGTCAGGATCATCTACTGCCTCCCCTGCTGCTGCAGTTTTCTGGGGAACTACAGTAGATAAAACAGTAGCATGAACCACTTGGTAAACTTGGAGAGTTAGTACAAAGTGAAATGTTATGAATATAAGCTGTGATCATTTCTGCCAACAAAGATTAACAAAGATTACCAAAGCAACACAAAAGAACTTGTTATGAAGGGCTGCTATTGTGAGGCAACCAAACTTTTACCTCTAAAACAGAGTTTTACCAGACATATAGACATACATGTATATAAAGTAAAGGAATGCATTATGGCATTATGTTAACAAATAAGCAACAACACAATGTGACATGGTACACTAACCTTTCATCTGTCCTGATTGGCTTGACTGCACATTTACTCTTCTGCTGACTTTTTTGGCAGCATCATCAGCAGCATCAGTCAGAGCTCGCTTCAACACCGAAGTCCTGTCAATCACTGGTCTTCTACTGGGGCTTCCCTCCCTCCCTGCACTGCTGAGGAATGTTCCTTTGTTATCCTTACTCGGGTTTGCCGTGTCTTGTCCCTTTCCTCCAAAAACACCAGCTCCTGTTTTCGTTTCCTCTTGTTTGGCAAACACAGAGCCCTGCTGGTCCTGCCGTCCGAATATTGAAGCCCCAGCTGAGGGGAAGTTCGCTGAGCCTGATGATGGTGGAAATCCAGATGGACCACCGGACGTCTGTCCGAATGTCTGACTTGCAAAAGACGGGATGTCACCCCTGAACGGGCTGCCTCCACCAAAGCCGGGAGAACCCGCACCCTTATCGGTGTTTGTACTGAATGACAAGGAAGGTTTGGCTACACCAGTGGTGCCGAAGGCTGGCTTGCCACCAAACCCTCCAGTCGTGGCGGTCTCGCCAGTACCGAAGCTGGCTTTGGAGTCGGTGGTGGTGAAGTTGAAGCCACCAGTGGTACTTGTTGATGCTGCTCCGAACACAGCCTGCCCGCCAAATCTGGAGCTGAGATTCTTACTAGCTGATGATGGTGATGGTGAGCCAAACACACCGAAGCCTTGTGTTCCCGCTGTGGGGAAGGCAGCACTGCTGCTCTCCAGAGCTGCCGGCCCCAGAGCTTGACTGGATGACTGAGATGTGGCATCCTCACTCTTGGCTGATGTTGCAGCAAAGACGTTCGCAAACTGGTCACGGCCGGCACCACTGAAAATCGTTTCAGCCTGCTGTGCAAATAGGTTCACCCTGCTTCCTGCTGGAAAAATGAGGCAAAGGGGGTTGCTTAGAGTTCAATATGTATCAAGCATGGTATAAACAAGAACTGTAGACAAGTTAAGGGGACTGATGAAAAGCTGACAAAGTAGAAAGCCTCTCCCAAAAAAAGGCAACATGCCTAAATACTACCAGTAGTACTTATCATGTAAAACAAAGGCAAATGACATTTTTCCCCCCACAACATTCCGGAGTGGAACTCTCTGCCAGTAGAGACAGCCACCGTGCCTACTCTAGCATCCTTCAAGGATAAGTTGGCCCACCTACACTAACCATCTAACATTGTACTACCAAACCAAATACCTGGAACCAACACCAACATCTGCAGTAGACTTCAATTCCTGACCTAACCAGTGCAGCAAGATTCATCGGCATGACGATGTTGGCTGCCCATACCAAAGAAGAAGAAGAAGAAAACCCTACAGTCTGCTTGGAGAGTAACAGGCTGTTGCCTTTGACTCAAACTCACTCACTATCTGGTTTATTGTTTGTTGTTCCCCATCAACGGAGGTTGGACGATGCATCTTGATGACTCAACTCTACACTATTCATCTTACTGCACAATTGATGAATTGATGAATAATGAACAGCGAATACACTTATTTTTATATTTATGGAATCCATACTGGTAGTGGTACAGTTATCCTACCTTCCACACTGACTCTTCTCTTGGCCCCGGCTCCAGGAGCTCTGTCACTTGGCCACCGTTTCCTTGCACCTGGTCCCCTCTCCCGCCCTCCTCTGTCTGGTCCGCCCCCTCTCCCTACACCTCGTGGTGTTCTGTCAAACCCCTGGGAGAGCCTCCGCAAGGCTTCCTTTTTCTGGAAAATGTCAGAGTCAATGTTGAATGTATCATTGACGTATTATGTGGTATTTTGTTGTCGTTATAACGTTTCTACTCGCCCCTGGTGTTTCGTTCATCATATACTGAAGTAGCTGCAGCGATTGTTGCAGGGCTTCTCTTGCAGGGCTAATGGGCTGTTCCAAAAAATAACTGTGGAGGGGGGGTGGAAGAGGTCTCAAATCAGCTTCTGACCCAACCCCCCTGTCCAGTCCAGAATTTTTTTTACCCACCCCCCTGTCCGGTCCAATTTCATTATTTTGACCCATCCCCCCTGTCCGGTCCAGATTTGTTTGACCCAACCCCCCTGTCCGTTCCAGATTTGTTTGACCCAACCCCCCTGTCCGTTCCAGATTTGTTTGACCCAACCCCCCTGTCCATTCTAGATTCGTTTGACCCAACCCCCCTGTCCGGTCCAGATCCATTTTACCCAACCCTCCTGTCCGTTCCAGATTTGTCCTAATATACCTGCCTTTTTCATATTAGGCAATTACTAGTACGTTTTTGAGTTTTGAGCGTTTATGTGCATGAAATGACTATTGTCAAGTATTGAACGTATTTAAACTTGTTTAATTTTTTCAGCATTCAACATCACTATGAGGAGACTGAACTAAGCTCCACCATATAGATTTGGGCATCGTATGATTGTATGAAGAAAAGCACCAAAAAATGCACTGAGCATTTTCCCTGTGAGGAATTCCTCACAGGGAAAATGCACAGTGCAATTTTTTTAGGACTGAGCAATTATGAGCAGACATGCGGAGCAAAACAGTACAAGATGGCAATGATTTTCCAGAGATTACTTTGGGACATTTCAAGTTGAAACATCTCTCACCCTTCTTCAGTGGCACTAAACTGCACTTGGAGGAACTAGAAAAAACAGTTGAACAAAGAATGAAAGACACATAAGTGTCCCTGTTATTGTTATGTAAATGAGGATAGGGTAGGTTATGGTAATACTAATACAACACCACAGCCAGGAACAACTGCATGTACTGGAGAGTTCTATGGGAAATCCTCCCTTCCAGTTAGTGGAGTTGTAGCTGCACCTATCTATAGATGGCCTCCTGGAAATGTCCTGAAGTAATCACCATGATAATTTATCCAGTAGTAAAGTTTGATTCGTCTTTGAATATTGTTTACCTGGATGTCTAAGTTACCTTCATCAGGGTTATAAAAAGATCAGCTTGACATTTGCGTGCCAGGTGGATCATGCCAGGCAATCTGACGTTTCCATGTTCAAGTTTCACACAGAAAACATTTTGCAAACAAGTCATGACTTGTTTACAAAAGAGTCGGTATTTTGAACCCTGAGTTCTGTTAGGGATGAAAAATATGACTTGGTAGAAATTCATGACATTGTCTTGTTGTATGACAATCAATGTACAGTTTTATACCATTGTCCTTTTATGAAAGATGGGAGTTTATGTGATATTTTTATGATGCTCTGAGTGCAAATAGAAATTCAATGGACTTAACCTATGAAGAACCTAGCTGGTTTGGTGGGGAAAACAATGGGAACCTGTAGGGACTTTTGTTTGTTCAAGCAGTGAATTCCAGGTCCATTGGCATTGGGTTTGGCTTGAAAGAGCCTAAATGGACTGAAAAGGAAATAAAAGGAGGTTTTGTATTAAACAAGGAGCTGGTTAAAATTTGTTTCTGACCTCCTTGTTTTGCTCAACTGCATCAGAGTATTGGTTTTGAAAATTCAAAATAATTCAAACTAGCCTGGCCCACACCTTCAGTCCTTCAGTGTTGTAAAGACTGTACTCATGACTTCTAATTCTTTCGGCAAATCAAATGACTTTGTGTAAACCTGACTGTCCTGAAATTTACCCTAGAATTTTATTTTGCTGAAATGACTTTGGCCTGAGATATAATTTAGCATAATCTGATAACACAACAATGTCTGAGCAAACAATAGGAACTAATTAGGACATGGAGACAGTAATTAGCATTTCAATGAGTTACTGCAGCTGGTTGTGTGGAAACTGAAATCCTGGTACACCAAAAGTCTAGTACAAGTCGACTAGAACCCTTGGATAGGAAAAGAACCTAAAAATAATGAAAAGTACTCGTAAATCAAAGTTTTTTTAACAAATGCAAAATAATTGTCCAATAAAGCAGTTCAATTTTAGATGGTCTGTAAAAGATATTTTTAAATGATGTTAGACCAAATTAATTAGTCTTTACCACTAGTACCAGACTATTTACAAGAATATTTGCCAGGCTAGTTTGGCCTGGCCACCTTCGGGTTTGATTTCGGAGGGTAACTGGATTGTATCCGGAAAGAAACAACCTTCTACAGACTGACTCCCCAGGCCAATCCTTTTTGCCGAAATACATATGCCACAATCCGTAATCCCACAGAAAAGCCTGGTGGAGGCTACTAAATAACAACAAATGTGTCTTATCTGAGAAATTGTACCCATATGTTAGTCAGGTATATTTGGCATATGAACTTTGCATTCAATCACCCAAACAATTAGGTGCATAAAAGACTTTGGGTGCACTGTACAAAACAAGATTACTAGATGGCATTAAAAAACCTCACACGAAAAGCCAGGTTGGCTCCTTGGCAGTTTCTTCTGACTTTGAAAAATCCCTATCGGTTTCTTCTTCAACATTGGGCTACCAGAATATCTGGGTGCACTCAGAAAAAGATTGGGTGTACAGCTCCAATTTTTGGTGCACCCTCAGTACTTTGAGCCCTGATTTGTAGTTTGCATCAAATCGGGCAAAACAATGGACAGGAGTGAGTGATACCCAGTTCATTTGATTTGTTGTTGGTACAGTAATACACTCAGATTCACACTTGCACTTGAATATTATCTAAATGACTGAAAAGAAAATCAAAGACAATTTTTATTCTTTTATAAGTTACAAGAACATTTGCAAAACAAAAACCTATGCAGTTGACTCCATATTCAGTTGAACCAAGGAGCTTATACATGTACGAAACTAGATAAAAAGGAACAATAATAATATATGTTACGGACAAGTTGCAATCTCCACAGTCACCCTACCATGCATGACATATTTTTTTAGATCAACAAAGAAGTTAATAAGTTATAAAAGTGATTCATAGATGGAAAGAAATTAACCTTGATGTGTGGTATATAACATTCTGAGAGAAACTGTTTGGCTAAAATTCTACTGATCCTTTTGTTATGCAAACCATTGAAAGAGAATGCTGGATTAACTTGTTTACTTTACAACACTTGCTTGTTAACTTTACAGTAACCAACTAATTACTTGGGGTAAAATGTTGTTTCAGATAAATTTTGAAAAGGAAAAGGACTTTTACTTTCTAAATTAAGATTTTCTACTACTGTATTTATATTTGCATGTAAGAAAAGAAGAAATCCTATATAGCAGGACAAATTTGAGGAGCACACCAACCATCACTAAACAGGGATAGCTGGCAGTATAAACTTCCTGGTACTTATAACCTGATAAGTCCATAAGGTCTGACATGGGATTGAGCTGTTTGGTCACTTAAATTATTTTATATGAAAGGTGTGGGACAGTTGAAATTTGATGCGTTAACTTAAAACAAATTTTATCTCTGTAACATTACAGTATGTACATCTTATAGACCTTATATGGACTCTATATGAGAGTGGTATGCATATTGAAGCTATGTTTATGATTGTATGATATTTATAATGTCCTTTATCCAGCAAAAAATCATTCTCCAACCTTCAATTAAACATCTAAGACTGTTCAGAGAGATAAAATCCAAACCATAATTAAAATGCTGAATACACCCAATACCCACCAAGTTCCAGTCTGGCTCCAACCCGGGTTTGTTTGACCCAACCCCCCTGTCCGTTCCAGGTTTGTTTGACCCAACCCCCCTGTCCGTTCCAGGTTTGTTTGACCCAACCCCCCTGTCCGTTCCAGGTTTGTTTGACCCAACCCCCCTGTCCGTTCCAGATCCATTTTACCCAACCCCCCTGTCCGTTCTAGATTTGTTTGACCCAACCCCCCTGTCCAGTCCAGATTTGTTTGACCCAACCCCCTGTCCGTTCCAGGTATTTGACCCAACCCCCCTGTCCAGTCCAGGTATTTTACCCACCCCCCCTGTCCAGTCCAACCTCTTCCGCCCCCATTCTCCTTTATTTTTTGGATAGTACTGAATCCTGTCTATACCTGTCCACACAACCAAATTTGTTAAGGATATATACCTGAATTGTTGCTGTTGTAAAATAATGTCTTAAAGATATAAGCTACTTGGTGTCTATAACGTTATAAACTTATATTTTTTTTTATTTTATATGTCTTGTGTCACTTTCTCTTACAAACGCCCCCCTCCCCCTTTCAATATTTTTGTGCCGCTGCCTCTGCTCCTTGGGCGTAACGCAACAGATGCAGTTAAGGCTTAACAATTTTTTGCTCGTCCTTGTAACGTTACCCTAAACACACGGAAAGTTACCTTCTTCTGAGCAAAGCTCCCGGGGGTGCTCATCTTTATAATAAATTGTCTCTTCTCCGGAATAGCTGATTGCTTGCACGCACCGCCAGAATCGAACTGAACTCTGTTTGTAAAGCTAGCACTCCATTTGCGCCATGCAAAATTACTCACAAAGTAGAACAATAATGTAAGTTTAAATCCAAATTCGTCGAATTACAATATAAATATCTTGAATGTACGTTGTTTTGAAGTTTGAGAAACATTTTTTTGTCTTGAAATGCCAGATTTTGTGCGTTTTATGTCTCTCTGACGTCACAAACTACTGCGCTGACAAATATGGTGCTATGTTTATCCAATGCATTCAAAGATGGCGGCAATCGAAACGAAATCGTGATCGAAAGTTACAAATTCCATCCGTCCAGGGCACACAGAGATATTAAGATGGTTGTGTGTAAGTTTTATCTACAGGGAAGTTGTAAGTTCGGAAGCAGATGTTTTAACGAACATCCTCGTGGGCAAGGTAAGGTGAAAACACAACTTCGAGATCACTCAAATGTGGGGAGGGGGGCAAAATCTCCCCAATAATAAAATTTTAGTAGTGTAGAATCGAGGAGGCAGGCATCATACGTAACGTTACGTTGCTGGATTAGTAACCGTAAAGATTTTTTCATAGATAACAAATTAACATGTATAATGTCCTTGTTTTCATGTAACCTGTAAAAATAAACTTTCATAGTATTACTATTGGTCCATTAGTTAGAATAGAAAAATTATACAAACTTTGATTCTTTCAAGAAGTTAACCTCCTTGCTTATTTGAAGGCTACCAGCAGCAGTCTTACAGTGGAGGCTACGGTGGAGGCGGCCAGCGAGGTGGTTATGGGGGTGGTGGCGGTCAGCATGGTGGCTACGGGGGCGGTGGTCAGCGTGGATCAGGTTACGGTGGCAGTGGTCAGCGTGGTGGTTACAGGGGAGGTGGTCAGCGAGGTGGCTATAGTGGTGGTGGTGGGGGCAGCTACGGAGGAGACTATGACTCCAGAGGTGGGGGCTTCGGCTACAGCGGCGGTGGCAGCAGGAGAGATGACTACGGTTCAGGTGGAGGTGGTGGGTTTGGTGGAGGACAGAGAGGAGGAGGATTCGGAGGTATGTGAGGCTAACAGTTAGCCTTTACCAGGCTTCAGAAGGAGCTGGAAAGAGTAGAAATTGGCCTAATAGACAGATAACATACAAGAGGCAGAATATGTACTCCTTTAGCAGACCAACTCCCCTGGTATGTTATCTGTCTATTTGGCCTCTTTCCAATCGCTTCTGAAGCCTGGTAGATGCTAGTTAACGGTGCATAGTGTGACAGTCATGACATGGGTCCATAGAAGCACGTGGCAAAAGAAAATTGACAAAACTAAAAAAAGGGTTTTAAGTGTCCAGGTTTCAGTTCATTTATATAAGAAAAGTATCGGTATGTCTGAACTGCAATGCTTGTATGATCAATGTAGCAAAGCTGTTCTTTTTTTTACAGGGGGAGGTTCTTTTGGTCGTCAGAAAGGCTTTGGAGGCCAGCAGAGCCAACAGACTTTTGGCTTCAAGAGTCAGAACAAGTTTGACACACTATCCACGAAAGATGGCGACCCAACTCCAGAACAAATCATGTAAGTGACTGTAAATGTGTGTACCAGTTAATCTACAAAACCAGAATTCCAACAACAACTTGAGTCAAGTTTTTATCATGAAAACCAGGAATTGTGATTGAACAATTATATTATAGGTTGGTAGATTGACACATGTACATACCATTATGAGATTCAGAACTTATATATTAGCACCTTCGCTGTTTGTATAAATGTGAAGTGCTAGATCAAAAAGCTAACAAGTTGACTCTTAAATTTGAAAGTGAGAGTATTTTTTTTTATTTTTAACACTAACTTGCATTTTTGTAACTTTCCAGAGAAACTATTGTGAAGGACATGGAAATCTGGGAAACATCGAGGATGTGGCCGTTTTCCTGTTACTGCTACACCAAGGACCTGAAGAGCATACTGGGTACGTTCTGTAAACTGTCTTTGGTTCAGTCAACCCTGTACCAATTTGTATATCTGACTCAAGGGAGTCAGCAACAACAGAATGGAGTCCTGTTGACTAAGTCAATATAAAATCTGGTCTGTGTGGACAAGTGATCACTATAGTATAGACAGTGTGCCTGTGTCACCAAAAAGTGGTTGCATTAGCCAGGTGGTCCTTACGTAGAGATGGTCACTTGTTCAGGTTTGCTTTATTAATATCACAATTCTTTATCCCTAGGCTTTGAAGACATCTCTGTTGAAGAGGTTAGATGGGAGGCATACCAAGCTGAGGCTGCTGGAACATTCAACAGCTATGTATGTAGGGTCCTTAATGTTCGCTTCAAGTACCCATCCAAGACATGATAACTGAATGTTCTCTTTTTTGTAATCCTGAATGTGTGCTTGTCGGAAACCATCAAGGGTTGTTTCCAGAACAATGTCATTCTGTCAATGTCATGCCCTTGTTACAAATCCCCCCATTCACAAGTTGATAGGAATATCAAAAGAACTTTTTTACCAGTTTGAAAACTAGATTATACTTTTGCTTGACTTCAACAATAAGGTTTGTACCTGAAACTTATAATAGGTTCACCCTTACACCTTGCATACATAGGATGAGATGTGGTTCAATAATGATAAACATGTATGTTTCAGTTTTGAATATCATTTTGAACTATTCCGCAGGTGGAAGGGTTGACACAGATGATGAAGAAGTACAAGAACAAAAAAGACGAATACAGGAGACCAGATATCAACGTCAAGGCACAAATTGTAAGACTTTCTTTATACTTATAGACTACATTGGTTGCCAACCATATATCAGAAGTGTTATAACTGTGTCAATAATTGCAACTTTGATAATCTTGACTTTCTGTAAGACTTGTTTTCAACAGTACAATGTACATTTTAAAATGCACACGTATGTACATACATGTATTGTCAACTGACACATTCCACTGTAGTTCTTCCTAGAATTAGTAGTCTATATCACTGTACGAGGGCAGTTCAATACAAATCTCTCAACACAGTTTTGGTTTGTGTAGGAGGCTGATATTTTATGTGCATAATATTACACATCTCTCATGGTCACGATGTTTTCATCTTTACTTTTACTTTTACTTTATCCTTCCGCTCTCTAAACCGCTCTCTATCCTTTCATCTCTAAACTGCAAACAGGAAAAACTAAATTTGTCGTTTTTTACCAGATTGCTGAACTACAAGGCAGTAGCAGCCAATCCGTGTTTGGCGGAGGCCAACAAGGTTTTGGAGGTTTTTCAGCACCCAGGTATTGTTCAAAAATTTCTATTTTTTTCATTTTTTCTCTCTGCATATGAAGCCTTGAGGCTAAACTTAGGCATGCTGAAGTGCCCATTTGGCCACTGATTCTCTATTGGTTATGGGTTTTATGATTAAAGTGGTCCCACGATTGCATGGTACCACGTTAGCCAGGTATTCTGATGCTTTGTTTGTTTATCTACAGCCAAGTGAGTGGTGGAAGTAGTGGTTTCTTTGGAGGCAGCAGTCAGTCACAAGGTAGGACCATAGTGAGATGGACAGAGAAATCAGGTTTAAAATGCAAACTTAGACTTCGTAGAATTAAGGAAAAAACTGATACTATTTTTGTGACATATCACAAGCCAATAGTGTTACAATTTTTTAATAAGCATGTTAGCAAAATCACTTGTGATATCAGAATATCACAGCACACAACTTAATTTGTACCCAATTGTTCTGTTTTAGGTGGTTTTGGATCATCTGCCAGCATGGCTACTTCAGGGTTTGGTCAAGGCTCGGCATCCAGCACAGGGTTCGGAGGCAGTTCTTTCGGAAGTGCACCATCTGGGACAGCAGGTGGTTTTGGTACCTCATCATCAGGTGGCACCTTTGGAGCCTCTGCATCAACCACCCCTGGTGCAGGGCTGTTTGGGCAGCAAAGTCAGGCCCCTGCCAGTGGCGGCTTTGGGTTCGGCAGTGCAGGAGGTCCTGCAAATGTATTTGGAAGTTCCACTACCACATCACAAAGCACAGGATTCGGTGGGACTGCGACGTCTAGTGGGTTTGGAGCTCAGACAGGTACAGGTTTTGGCGGGAGCTCTGCAACAGGAAATGTAGGATTTGGTGCTGCAACAGCAACTGCAGCCACAACAGGGCAGACAGCCGCAGGGACAGATGATATTACATACACTCCAACAGACAAACTAACACCAGACGAACTGGAACAATTCAAGGCAGCAACTTTCACAATAGGGAGGGTTCCTACCAGGCCACCACCAAGGGAGTTCTGCTAAAATACCTGTCTAAAGAAAAGGACTATCTAGTTGCCTTACCATTGGTCAATATCAAAATGTCTAACATACTTGTCTAAATTTTCCTAGTTACAGATATGACATTCATGAAAGACACTGAAATGCATACTGACAAAAAAGAACTTTATTTTTCATACTTAAATGTACTGTCATGTCTATTTGATAATGAATAAAGAGAACTACAAAATGTAACAGTAACAGCACAGAGGTACTGATCCTAAGTTTTACATTCCACTTCCACTGACTCCCACTGATTCACAGCATTAACCTTTCTCACTGTCACACAAGTTGCACGATTGTTCTGTATAAATGTTATTCTCTTCTGAATCTCTTTGAGGCAAATTTCCAAAGACTCTTAAACAATGATGCAGGTGATGCCAAGACTCTGCCAGCTTCCACCACCTCCTTCTTCCTCCTCTGAACCGCCATCTTCATGTCTTCCTTTGCGTTGTCGTACCTGGCCTTGTACCGTTCAACTGCAGTTGGTTCTGTCCACACGCCTCTGCGTTTCCTCTCGGCAACAAGTTCTGCTCTTAGCAGCCTCTTTGTCAGCTTTACATACGTGGTCCCGACCTGCAGGCCTTCTATAGGAGCTACCTTCCCTAAACCCCGACGTACAAGTTCTTCATTCAAACACATACTAGAGAGCAGATACCCCCTCCATCCCGGTCTCCGTGTTGTAACAACACAGTCCAGCTGTTTACTTGAGTTCACCTGCAGCATCTTGAAAAACACTGCTTTAGTATGTACGTTCTCCCTCAGCCAGTCAACAGCACCTTCCTCGAACTTCACACCTGCAAGATGCACACCTAGGAGCTAAGCTGGGTTACGGGAATTGGAGAGTTTCCCGTGCGGGAACTGTGCCACAGAGGGGGAGAAATTCCCGTGTACGGGAATCTCTCCACCTAGCAGTGCCGAGTCCCGTACGGGAACTTCACCACTCAGGGCTGCCGCGGAGGTGGAGAATTTCCCGCTTACGGGAATCTCTCCACCTAGAAATGGTGAGTCCCGTACGGGAACTTCACCACTCAGGGCTGACCGTGCGCGCACGTGTTTTGGGGCCGATATACAGACGGGAATTTCACCATATTACACGAACGGGAATTGGACCATTTTAGTCGTCATTTTCGCGTACGGGAAATTCACCAGCATTGACAAACAACATTATTGATGTCCGTCCGCGAACGCCGTACGGGAACTTCACGGTCGATATACAGACGGGAATTTCACCATATTACACGAACAGGAGTTGGACCATTTTAGTCGACATTTGTCGCATGGGAAATTGACCAGTTGTACTACGGGTGCAACCAATTTTCGATTGAACTGGATTTGAAATCAAAATTGGGTTCGAACAACGCCCCTGGCTTGAAGCAAAAATCTAAATACGTCGAGTGATCGACGTAATCACGAGTGCGTCTTCTATGGACATTTTGAGCTGTAATGATACTAGTAGTCTTGAAACTCGGTAGAAGACACGAACCTAAAACATGTAAAAAGCCTGTTATACTACGGTAAAAAAAATGCCCGAAGAAGACACACTCGTAATTGTGAGTAAGTCTTACACGGACAGTCTTGTCATAGCGATAGCAGACACCGGCTCCTCAACAACGAACACAAAATGTTTGTCCTCAAATTAAAACATAATGATGTGTGTCAACCTCACGTTATACAAATTTCACTTTTCGGCTATTCTCATACATACTCAAGACGCTAGTACTAGTACCGGGGTAGAAAAATATGGCGGCCATGAACAAAACGACGCTATCCCGTCATGCATTATAATATCCGCTAGGCGGGAGATCTGAGTGTTACCGCTGTAGCAAAAAAAATCTTGTTCGGTATTTCCATGGAGTTTTACCTCCATGGTATTTCCATGGAGGTCTCTTTTCTACCTCCATTGTATTTCGGATTCAATCCCCGTGGATCAAGGTTAAGAACATGTTGTGTGTTGCATTTACTCATATTTTCCTTGAATATATACATTTCCAGCAAGGCTAGGGGTTATTTTAATTATACCGTTTGTGTTTCGAGTTTTGTTAGTCTTCTGACTTGTACTTTGTTCTGTAGCGTCGACTTCCTTTTTGCAAGGACGTTATAGCCTCGTTGGAATAACAATTTTTTTTACCGATAATAGACGGTAAGTTTAGTCTTGCTGATATCCGGCTCCTGAACAGTTAACACAAATCATGCATCCTCACAACGTGCCCAGGCCAACCTGTTTACAATGCAATGATGTATCAACAGTTATTTTCATACTCGTCCGGCCGGGACGCTTACTACTACTAGTATATCATGTGAATGAAAAGATGGCGACCATAAACAAAATGACGCTATCCCGTCATGCATTATAGTATATCAGGTTGGCGCGAGACCCGAGTGTTGCTACAACAGTTGTGTAGTAGTCTATACGACTTTGGTGATTATAACGAAATCAGACAGCTTTAATTTCTATTTCAAATTTAGGTAGTGTAAGGCAAAAGCTTGTACTTCTTGTTTTTATTTTCAGATTCAAATCGTCAGGATCAAGGTTAAGACCGTGCTAGGTAACACCGTTCGCCGAATAATTTTTTTAATCCGTTTTTTTTTCTTCATTTTTACGTTGGTTTCCAGTTATAACGTTTGCTTTTGTTACTCCGTGAAGGAGGACAGGACCTCCGGACGGAGTGTTGTAATCGGCTGATTTTTCATGTTCGCAGTCAAAACACTGGGTTCTCTTTGTGTAATCGGCACGCAATTTTATACGCCGTCTGCGGGCATGCCCGTGTTGATGCACGAATGTGTATTTTTGCCGTTGCTGCTTTCGCGGTCAATGTAATATCGCAGACGCACCCCTACAATTACGAGGCGAATTGGAATGGTCCAGAAAACGCGTTGTTTGGAATAGCAGTGGGGTTCAAAAAAGTTCATGCAGATACGGGGTGGTTTTTATAAGTGGTTCCAGATGTTTTTGCCCATGGTTAAGAGATGCCAAGTTTTTTGGAAGATGTTCGCAGCCAAAACGCATTCTTCCGTACGTCGCATTTCTGTGTAATTTCGCATGTGGTGTTGCATTATGTCCGGGATGATGCACGTCTTTTTATTTTTACCGTAGCTGTTTTGATATTGGAGTAAATGCTTATTTTCGAAACATCCCCATTTCTTTGAAATGG